TGTATATATATATATATATATATATATATATATACATATATATATATATATCAACTTGCTTGTATAAATACCAGAGATTAAAAGAAATGTTAAGATCTCGCAGTACTTGTCTTCTATCGGTTGTAACGAATATAATATATCTGTTAATTTGAGATTTTCATCTTGATGTCGGAAAATATGCTGCCTTTCCCTTTGCGAAGCCATCTGCTAGCGTCCGTCAATGTGCTTCTTTTCATCATGAAAACTTGTAACCGTTATTCCCACNNNNCACACTGTCTACCGCCGCACACACTAGAAAAAGTCACGATTTTCGGGTGATTGTATCAGGTTTTATTTGACCGGGGTATGATGCGATCACGGGCTTGGTACGGGCACTTGAACTCTGACCATTTTTCCTATGGGGCTAGGCATTATGGAGCGTAGCAATTCGGAGTTACTTTTCTTTGCAAAGCAAAAGCCCACTCCCCTCACGTTCCTCTGCGATCGTGGAGCAGACAGTGGGACAGCTTGCGATGAGAATACAAAGTAAGAATTGCCCTACATAGTTCCAAGCGCATCACGAATCGGCCTCCAGATGGCGCTCAACGCTGGCTGACCGAACTTGAGGGTGAATAATCGAACCATCCGAACGTGCGTTTGATGTGAACTTTCTGAGCATTGACTTTCATGCACTCAAATTTCATCACTTGTTCTACTCACAAAACTTCTCCACATTTCCTACAACACTTGTCTGTATAGATCATAACATTGACTGGTTTCGAGGGCAAAGAACGATTGAAAGTGGAAACCATGATTCGACAATTGGGTGCATCCTATACGGATTACTTGGAGCCCAGTCACACACTGCTGGTTTGTAAACAGTAAGTGCCCAATATCGTTCCTCCCTGCGCTTGAAGCACACTATATGTGTACTTTATTCATACATGTAACCGTTTTCCACTTCGTTGAAACTGTTATGTTCTCTCATTTATTTTCTTTAGACCGGAGGGTAAGAAATACGAGATGGCTCAGCTGTGGGAGATTCCTTGTGTCAATTTACGTTGGCTACAGGATCTGTATTTCGGTGACTTGATGGCTCTAGCATCTGATCTCCCGCACAAATACCTCTCTTTTGAACCGGTAGATGTGACCACTGCACTCGACCGATGCACCCCACGTGTTCAAGATCTGATGGGTAAGTTCCAGTGAAGTGACGCACCACACGAACACATACATGATCCGTGTGAAATTCATCTGAATTTAATCGGCCACAATTTTTTTGTGTAAGTCTTACAGTATTTTCGCCTTTGTTCACAAATATTCGGCGAAAAGGTGCGTTTTGGTTCATAATATGGAAGATCCTTTTTCACATCAAGTTGATTTGTATATATTTGAGTTTTTGTCATGTGTTTCCGTAGTGTGATTTTGCGATATCCTGCTCTTCATTTTTGTTTCGTGCTAAGTTGATGTGATTTTGTCGACAACTGATGATATAAACACGATAAATGGAGCACTGAAGGGATAGATCTTTAAATGGAGTAGGTGTTCTTTTGCTTTCCATTTGGGTTTTTATGCTGCTTAAAACACTGGAGTATGTTGTCCCTAAACAACCGCCGGGAGGGGGGGGGTCACGGCTTTTACCACGTGATGCTGGGTCCCGTTGTTTTGATGTGTGTATTTACTACTCCGGAGAAGACAAGGTTTCACTATTGTACAAATCATAGCAAACAGCTATCATCAGTTCTGTGGTCATTTTTACTGCTTGGTTACGTAAGTGAGACTTGAAAGAACTTACCCTCAGCATCTTACAGATTAGTATAAGGTACATTGCGGTAGGCTCTTGCTTCGAGTCCATAATTCATTAGGGTGCAATGTTCTGTCGCTTAAATCGTATGCCTCTTAGGTGAGAGATTCAAGTCCAGAGTACCCATTTCACCTGTCGCTCCGCCGATCCGTTAACCAAGAACCCTGTAGGCAATTCGTTTTCGGTACCTCAGCAAAGAATTTGTTTGCATGATAACATTTTGGACACTACAGATTGATTAGGCTCACTTTTTTACTTCGTCTGTGTTTCACTTTTGATTGAATTCCTAACACTGTGTTCGAAGAATTTTAGTAATTTGTATAACGTAGTCAATACAATCTGGGGCACAGAAAGTCGTCGATTTTGCTCCATTATCGTCGATGCACCGGCTCTTGTATTCACAAGGCGCGCGATTGTTAGCACAATTGCGCAATGCATCTCATCGCGGCCTCACGTGGTCTCTCGGCGAAGCCCGCGGCTTATCTCACCGTCCTGCAATCTATTGTATGACAATTTTGAACAAACAATGGCCCAGTATTACCGGTTCCTTTTTATTCCTTGAATTCCAGTCGGTTGGCTCACTCCAATTCGTTTAAATCAAGAGATTTGGATGGTAAGTCCTGTTTTTCTGTCCATTTGAAATCAAATTTTCCGATCATTGTTCCTCTGCTTGCTCCGGAAACTTGTACTGATCAGCTAGGAAAGCGATTTGTCCAAACCCTTGGAGTATCGTAAACGGGGCTGCTAGTCGCATACCTATTTCATCTCGAATGTCTATTGAATCATTAGCACACCTCACTCTTCATATTAGGCTTATCCATAAAGAATACTTGACAAAAATGTAAATACCACACTTTTAATACTCTTCTCAAAAAACGTGGACAACATGTTTTACCAGCAAGAACACGATCAGTGTTCTGTGGGATCTTCACTGTTATTGAGGCACTCCAATTATCTTTTTATTCATTGTGGACTAGTATGATATAATAAGTGTCATCAGGAAATGATTCAACATGTCGTAAAGTATTTCAAAGTAGGAATTTTATCCTCGTCAGTAAGTAAGCACATCTTTGTTCCACATTCAGATTCATGGAATGAGCTGTGTCATTTTCTCTTTCTGAATAATTGCATCGGTTTTCACCCAATGATCTGGATCTTTTCTATAAGAGGTAAAATATCGTAAACTGGGAGTATTAAGTTCAGTTCAGTTCAGTTTTTACAACCATTAACCATGCACTTTCTTGCGCCGGTTTTGGTTACCCATTTGGATAAAAGAACGAGATGGAGATTAGAATGTTGAGAGTAAATTCAAGCGGAAGCTGACGGTTACCAGTACGTGCATGAGCCCCACCGTTTCCGACACTCAGCCATATCACTCAGTGTGTCTAACCAAAGTGACCCTCATCTCGAGTTCCCCAGCAAGGGAGCCTAACGGGACCTATGTGACCCAGACTCCTGGTTAAGGATGTCGGGTCTTAGATTGACTGCGGTTGGCTTTTTCCCACTCACCACCTGCTTCGGCGAACATTGCTCGCCGTGGCAGCCTATCTGGTGATATGCGTAACACATGTCCCAGCCAGCGTAATCTATGAAGTTCAACCACTTGCTCCAGTAGGCAACCGCGATAGTCTAAAACTCTACGCCCAACCTCAGCATTGCTTGTCCGGCTGCCCCACCAGATTCGTGCAATTCTGCGTAGACAGCGATGTTCGAACACCGACAATCTGTTTTTATCCTGTTCCCTTAGTGGGCAAGTCTTTGCACCGTAAAACAGCACTGGTCGCGTTGATACAGCATATACTGGACCCTTCAC